CTGACCTCGCATCACAATAGTTGGTACAGACCCATTGCAATACTCTAGAGACTCTCTAAGTGTAAACAGTTATTTTCTACTCAATAAATCTCTCTACAAAGCTCAGAGTCTTCACTATTGTTCCTATAATGCCTGCAAGGCTCTTTTGGCCCCTCAATGCCTCTTGGGTGCAATACAAGAAAAAGAGATGTGTTGTCTGCTAAGGGATTTTTCTCTCAACTCATGACATAACAATGACAAATTTGGATATACTTATTTGCAATTCAGAAATAACTATTCATTAGCTTGTACCAATCCAATTACATTTGAACATTTTGACTGGTGTAAGGTGTGAATCTCATTATATCAACTTCTTGTGGTTTCTTTCGGGAAATAGCCAATTACAAGTTGTCTTGTTTTAAATGTGTTGACACTTTCCTATGAATACATCAGTAAATTCTTCCAGTGGGCTGTATTGAGAAATCAGGAGATCTTTTCAATCACAAGTGGTAGCTCTATATCCTTTGAATGCCTTAGTCCTTAGTTTTTTTTTAATCAATATTCTCAATACAAGGCCAAGTCTTATATCAGCATCAACACCCCAAAATATGGTCACAGAATACCACCAACATTTTTCTGACATGGCCTTTGCTTTATATGTGACAAGATAATTCAACCTTATAGGTAGTTCAGATTTGGTGGAGTAATTTTCATATTCTGTTATAATTTTGACGTGATTCAGCCCAGTAACATGCACCCTTGGAGTCCTTCCTATAGTGTTGTGGTTAGTGTGCTTGGCTCGCAAGTGAGAGGGTTTAATTCCTGGGCAGGGCGAAACCTTAGGCAAGTTTTCTGACTCCACACGCCTCTGTTTAGTAGTAAGTAAGAACCCAGTTGTTAGTTGAATGGCAGATTGCTTTCCAGGGGTAATACTCCTTCAAAAAATCAATACACGACTGTTTGTGGGACATTGCTGTGTGCAATTGGCTACCGTGTTTTGCCCACAAAATACACAGTCAATCCACTTTACAATATATTCTGTGAGGTGCTTTGAGACATCTCACCTACACGATCAGGCACTATATCAAATATAAGGTTTATTATTTATTATTATAAGAAATTGCAGTTTTCACAGCTAGATTTTCAGAAAAGACAGAATGATAAAGCATTTTGTGTATATACAGCAGGTTTGCAGCATATCCAGTACAGTGAAAAGCATTGTTCATAACTGGAATATTGCCTATTTATTTGGTCACTTGTGTTATCAATGTTAGTTGAATCACATCAGAAATGTGATTTTGTGTTTTAAAATTATTCATTATATAAACCTCACTGGCTGCTTACTCCAGCTCATGGAACCAGCGTGCATTTTGTTTCACCCGTACCTTTCCTTTAAACGTTTCATCTAGTCCTTGACCAAGTCAGTTTTCCTCTCCCTCTGCAAAATCATTCACCTGCATCCCCGATTCACCTTCATCACAGCTGGAAACCTCATTTACATCTTCATTTACTCCAATAATATTTAAGAAAATAAAAGGCAAAGCAGTGCCATGGAGTTAACCAGTTAACTGGATTCCATTTTTAAGACTATTTTCAAGTCCCTTCATTGAAATGACCTAAGCTTAATCTCTCTCAGCTTTCCCTTGGATACTTTCTATCAACATTGTTTATATACAATCCTATGATTGTGAAGATGGGATGCTATGAGGCAAAACTGTCAATGGTTATCAATTAACTTCACAGCAGACTTAACAGAAGTATGTGAAAATTAATATTTGTTATGACTTTTTTACATGTAGTCCAGTTTTGTTGTAAATGTGCTTGGTTTGCGACAAAATCAGCATAAATGTCTGGATTTGGTGAATTTGAGATAGGCTAAGTTCCCATTGGTTTTGGATTTGTTTGGTCTTGGTGATGTGTACAACTGAACATTAAATTACATAACAAAATAATCATTCATTGCATTGCTGTTTGTGGGCCACTGCTGTGTGCAAATTGGCTGTTGCGTTTGCCTACAAAATATATGGTCACTACACTTCATAGTAACATTTTGTGCAGCATTTTGAGACATTCTGATGATAATAAAAGGGCTAAATCAAATCTAAGGATTATTATTATAAATCAACTAATTATTACATCCAAATGATGAGTTCATAGTGTAATTTCAACTTAAGTTATTATAATTCTATTATAAAATGTGAAAAAAGTCACTAATTACCACAATTAAAAGCGCTTTGAGACCTCACGACGAAGTGATAATGATAATAATAATAATCCTTGCATTTGATATAGCGCTTTTCACGTCGAGAGGACGTCCCAAAGTGCTTCACAGAACACACTGTAAAGTGAATTGACTGTATATTTGTGGGCGAACGCGGCAACCAATTGCGCACAGCAATAACAATAATAATAATCCTTGCATTTGATATAGCGCTTTTCACGTCAGGAGGACGTCCCAAAGTGCTTCACAGAACACACTGTAAAGTGAATTGACTGTATATTTGTGGGCGAACGCGGCAACCAATTGCGCACAGCAATGTCCCACAAACAGTCGTAGATTGAAAATGACCAATTTATTAATTGTTTTTGGTTTTGGAGGGATTATTATTAGGCGTGTGGAGTAAGGAAACTTGCCCAAGGTTTCGCCCTGCCTGGAATTGAACTCAGGTCTCTCACTTGCAAAGCGAGTGCTCTAACCACTGAGCTACAGGACTCCACAAGGTGATAAGGTGCTATAATTAAATGAAAGGATTATTATTCTATTATTATTGCTCATGCGTATTCACTACAAGACTCCTATGTTGAAGGGTGCCATTGTATTCAGAACTCCACAATTGGGTATTTTGTTTCAAAATGTAGTCTTGCTGCCAGAAATAAATATGCAATAAGGATCATAATGGAAAGTTTGACCAAGGGCTGAGAGGGTCTCAGTAATTTGTAATCTTCCCAAGTTGTAAGGATCTTTACTTCCCTCCAGATACAGATTATATATTTGCTTTAGTGGTTGAATTGACATACAGCTAGTTCAGGCTATCCAAACATACAACGTTGCTGTAGAGTAGGATCTCCCATCTTTACATCATCCTGCAGGCATAAGTTTTGCTTTTCTACATAATAATTTGATTGTAAAAAGAAAAACAGCTCTTCCGTGACTGATTCGAACTGGTCATCAGTACTTTGCCTTCCGTGATGTTACTAGAGTTTGCATAAGGTTCCCTCTGACACTTGTGTGTAAAAAAAGTAATTGAAAGGAAGGTGATTGAAAGGCTAAAAATAAAATGAATTCACAATATTCTGTGAAAAGGTGACTGAGTGCAGGTGAGCGGAAGATGGATTAGATGGATTAGATGAATTAGTTTTATATTATAACAAAGGGAAAGGGTTCAGCATCCCAATGCCATGGCTGAAACATATAGAACCATATTGTAACAATTGTATGTCCTCTGAGATCTTGGAAACCGTTTTTACCACTCCAGCAGCTCTGTGAATATTGGTGGATTAAGCTGAATCATTTAATGCCACATGAAGAGGATGTGTGACTTGTGAAACTCTAATTAGGCTTTTGTCTTTGGTATTGGTGACTTTCTTCAATACTTTTTCAGTCGAGCCAGATATCCAACCCTTTTACAATGACTTTCGTAGGTCCAGCCTAATCTCTTTTATAATCAGAGCAACATCTGTCAGTCAGAATTATTGGGATCAGATTTTTTTTGTGTGTTTATTATGCATTAATTTTCTTGTGCAGTTTGTGGAATCTCTTTTAGTATATAATAGGTTGAGATTATGTTTGAATGCTTAATAACCTATTGCAAAACAGTTTTTAAAAAAGCTGACATAGAAAAGACTGAATGAGCAGGAGTTGATTCAATGAGATGCCTATGTCCTGTCACACGTGAAGTAAAAATTGGCATTCTATTTCTGACTCTGCATTTTCCTGGATTTATTATGTTCAGATTTTTATGCAGCAGAAATTTTGAATCCAAATGAGGGGATTAAAGTGTCCGTGACAATAATTCAGCTCTGTACTATTGACTGAGCGATGTATGGAAATATTATGTTGGTTCACTGTATATCATGTAAATGCATATCAGGAATCATTTACTACTCCAAGGAATATTATTAACTTCAACCAGAGTTCTCGTTTCCATATCTACCCCCCTTAATTGCTGAGGCTGATTATATGGAATGAGGAAACTACTATCCTTGATCACCTCAATGAAATGAACCACCTCATTGAAAGTGATTTTACAATCGTCAATCACATATGACTGACCTTGGCCTTCAAACACTTTTTAATTTCTAGAGCTAGGTATTCTCTGGTTAGCTAGGTACACACACACACACACACAATGTTATATATACATACAGATATATGATGCACACAGATACATACTGCACACAGAGATATCTATATATAGATATATGGTACATTAATACATATATAGATAAGCAATAGATGACATAACAGATGATAGATTGGTTAAGCATAAAGTGGAACCAATATAAGTAAAGAACAGAGTAGAATATGTGACCCATTTAGCGTTCCTTGGACCTCGTTTGATATCATCCATGCTCATGCCAGGAATCTTACTGGTTGAACATTTGTCTGCCATAAACATTTGGGGATTTTGAACACATTAGCTTTTGCAGGGTTTGGCATTTGTGTTTTTCTTAAATTCATAAAAGACTGTACTTTTATTTCAAGGTATTTTGGTTTTACTTGGAAACAATTAATCATCTTGCCACTCGATTGGTGTGTGATCTGCTCTCTGAGCTCCCTTTGTAAGTTGACTATAAAGATCACTGGAATCCTATGATCCTAAAATTCTCTTTTTTTTATTCTCTCCCCCTTCCTGCACAGAAATACTACCTACTGCATGAAGGTTTCCATGTCACTAATTGTAGCTGAAAATGAAACAGGACTCTGTTACAATTCAAGAATGAAATACTTTGAAAAGGCTGAGCTCAGCAAAAATAAAGAAATAACGTGTCCAGACATAGAGGATTTCAGTGTTCCAAACAGGGAACCTGTAGTATGGTATAAGGTAAGACTCTCTGTTTACTATATACAACTCAATTGTGCCAAGTGTTGCCTGACTGTTTATAGTAATATTTGACTAAACGTTCTGTAGCTTAATGGTTAGAGCGTTCGCCTTGCAAGCGAGGACCTGGGTTCAATTCCTGGGAAGGGCAAAACGTTGTGCAAATTTCCTTACTCCTATATTTACCTAGCAGTAATCAGGAACCCAGTTATTAGTCGGTTGGTGGATCACTTTTCTGAGGATAATAATGCCTTAAAAAAATAGCAACAATTTGGTCACTTTGTCCATGACTGTTTGTGGGACATTGCTGGGTGCAATTGGCTGCCATGTTTCGCCCACAAAATATAGTCAATTCACTTTACAGTATATTCTGTACAGAGTTTTGAGACATCTCGAAGACGTGACAAGGCACTATATCAAATGATTATTATAAAATTTGCTCCAAGATTGCAAACAGTTACATTTCAATATTATGTGGTGTTTGAACAGGAATGCAAGACAAAAGCATGGAGACAATCTATTGTCCAAAAGCAAGACACACTCCTGATCCGTGAAGTTAGAGAAGATGATATTGGAAATTACACATGTGAACTGAAGTTTGGGGAATTTGTGATAAGAAGGACGACAGAATTAACGGTTACAGGTAGGTGCTCGAAATCAAAATCTTTTTCAGTTATGTGATTTATTTTAATTTATTGCTTCTGATGATCAATTATGATGAGTTATTATTTAGGAGATTTGCTTCTAAGGATTGTCTTGTTGTAGCTGTAGGTTGCTTGCATTTATTTTATTATTGTTATAATTCAGACCGGCTTATAATAATTGGTACAAGTTACTTTACCTCCCTGTTCTGAATGTTTTATTTCCCCTTTGAACCAAATCAGAACATATAGATAATGTTTCAATGAACTTTATGCATTTGCTATCAGATGCCCATTGCATTCACTGACAAGTTCCGTGCTTGTGTGGACAACTCATCCTGACATGACAGCAGCAATCTTTGATAGTGGAAACAAAGAGGGGAAAGAACAATGTAAAGATGCAAAACAAAAGCTGGTCAGCGATGAATTCGAGGCATACACTGATCCCTTTGAGGATCTGGGCTTACAGATTCACTCATAGATTCACTAGTTGTGCATATATTGGCCACAAAACCAACTTGGGACCATGAAGCTAATACACTCATGACTATTAATTTTTCTTTATATAAAATTAGAAAGAAGGTTTAACTGATTTATTTTTCTTCAAGGAACATAAAACTTGGTAAAGGTCTACTGATATATTTTCTTTCACTGAGCATTTTCTATAATCAATATTGTAACTTATGTAGAGTGTTATGTCCAATGTTGTAACCAAATTCCCTTACTTGGAAGATGTGTTGCAACCAATAAGTGGTCTGGATACTTCAGAAAATGTTTGATAATCAATTTTGTGAGGTCCACAAATATTAATTCAACAGCCTGAAAGTTGTCACAATAAAATAATTGATGCTATCTTCCCAAATTGATGGACATAAAGAGAGAGGGAAATTGCTTTGCTGTCCACCTGTGAGAAGAGGTGACGGATCCTGCGGTTTGGGGGAACCGATATACTGTATTTTTATGTTCGAAGGGAGAAGACACTTAGCATACTTCAGTTTCATGAAAGCCTAAAAATGTAGAGAGCGGAGGAAGACAATTCTAATTTGTCCCATTTTTTGCATGTCAGCACGACATAGACATTTTTAAAGTAATGAAATTCATATTTCATTTTCCAGAATGTCAATGACCAGCCTGAGTCTGCTAAAAGGGCAGTTTGAAATATTCAGATTTTCTATAGCAGCTTCATCTAGACTCCATTGCTGTCATCATGAACCCTTGCCTCTAGTACTTTAGGGACAGTAGCATAACCAGCTGGAAACTTGAGAAATCCTTGGATTGATGTGCAATGGAATTGTTAAATATATATTCTGAAGACATTTTGATCAGTTCGGAGCCTACCTCTGACAGACAGCTTCTACTTAGGGAGCGTACTAGTATCCTCTACTAACAGGTGGAGTCCTGTAGCTCAGTGGTTAGTGCGCTCGCTTTGCAAGCGAGAGACCTGAGTTCAATTCCAGGCAGGGCGAAACCTTGGGCAAGTTTCCTTACTCCACACGCCTAATAATAATCCCTCCAAAACCAAAAACAATAATAAATTGGTCATTTTCAATCTACGACTGTTTGTGGGACATTGCTGTGCGCAATTGGCTGCCGCGTTCGCCCACAAATATACAGTCAATTCGCTTTACAGTGTGTTCTGTGAAGCGCTTTGGGACGTCCTCCCGACGTGAAAAGCGCTATATCAAATGCAAGGATTATTATTATTATTAATACAGTCATGGTGTGTTGCTCTTCTAAACAATTAACTGTAATCTGATCAGACAAAAAATATTGTGATCCTTTCTATCTTTCAACCCACTGCAGAAGTGTGCCTTGGTAGTGTCTACTGATTATAATGGACTACAAATAGCAATACAGAAACAATTGTGTAGCATTTATAAAATTCCTAAACACACACTGTTCTTTGTTTTAGGATCACCAGTAGGTGGCACCCCTTTTTGTTCAAGTGGTGTGCTCCTTTCAAGGGCCAAGGACTGCCATGTTGTTAAACTAAAATGGGAGCCCTCAGACCTTGTGGACCAACCTACTTAGTTGGAGGGGGTGCTACCTGCTGGTGTTCCTATACGTGTTCCTTAAATAAGGAACGGAACACATTTTGAAATCACAATTATTTATTAAAAACACTTCAGTCTTAACCCATTAATTAGCTGAAAGTATGAATGGGTTGAGGAATATGTATCATGTGTATCTATTACTTGAGTAGCACCAAGCAGCTTGAATTTGATTTCTTAGTCTGGAACACCATTTAGTCTTATCATTTAAGATCACATTGATCTTACATTTTTACACGAATTTGGTAGCCATTTATCCAGAACCCCCTTTTAACTTTAGACCGAATTGGAGAAGTTTACACACCTTGCTGTGACTTTAAATTGTAAGGCAAAATTGGCCTTACAAACTTGGTAGGAATTCAGTCCAAGAGTCCTTTAATCAAGACTTGCAATTCTATTAATTGAACATTCAATTTGGCAAAGAAAATTATTCAATAAACTAAACTATTCATATAATTAGAATAAATATAAGAGGAGACTCACCTCCCAGAGCTTGAGCAATGCAACCTCCAACCAGAACCTGACCCGGAACCGTTCTCTTCCCCCAGTCAGACACGTCCTCACTCACACATGGCCAATTGAACAATCTCCAGTGAACTATCTGGGGAGGTAGTGAGGCGAGGGGAGGGGGAAGGAGGAGAGGATGGCAACAACATTCACGTTGCACTGTAGAAGGAGGTGATGCGTTTATTCGGACACAGATTAATTGGTTTTATACAAAAGTCACAGGAAAATGATCCAATAAACCAAATTATTTATATATCCAGTATTCAATTTATTTATATTCTTAGAAATAGTTTAGGAATCCTAAATTCTATAAACTAAGTTATTAAATTATCCAAATTCAGTTAATTGAATTTCACTGTACTTGGTGTCCTGCTCCCAGTATTTTTCCCGATACCATCTTGACTTCCGAACAGGAAACTGATTTTAATATAGTCTGTTACCTGATATAGACCATTCAATACAGCTGTAACTCTACATAAGGAAATTACCCCCCATTCCACCACCCGCTGCCTAAGCTCGGCTGGCTCCAGCCTCCTGTTTGTCACTTGTGTCCCTCCGTTACACCATCGGTGGCCATACCTTCAGCCACTACGTCCCAAAATTCTGGAACTCTCTCCCTCAATTCCTCCACCTTGTCCCCTCCCTCCCCACTTTTGAATCATGCCTAGTGTCCTTCCTTTTTCATCACGCCTCCCTTCTCCCTATCCCACTGGCTCATTGCCAGACTCCACCACTGTCAAGCGCTCCAGGATGCTACCCCATATGAAGGGCGCTATATAAATGCAAGTTGTTGTTGTTTTCTCCCTTCCTGGCCTTGGAGACCTGGAGGTAATTCTCATTCCTCTACAATGACCTTCACTTAGTTCCACTAAATCAGTCGGGATCAACGATCTAACCTGGGGACCCAGATCTTTATAGCTGTGTATCATACTGGGCAGTGGCTTTTATCAAGTCAACCATTTGGAGAATTATCTGTTCCTTTTAATGCTATTTAATTGTTATAATTTCACTATCCCTGTCAAATGTGCAGCGATTTAAATACCATGTCTAGAACCATCTGCACCTCACCTCCTCCTAGTGAGTTATTTGCTTTCTTCCCAGCCATCTGTTTACAGTATTTTCTGAGTTTTTCGCTTCTCCTCCATGGAAGTGTATTTATTTTGTCTGCAGTCTCTTGCTTGACCTTTTTATCGTGACATCCCTCCTCCCTTCTACCTTCCATTTCAGCTTCATCTTACAAAGATCTCAGTGTGAACATTGAGGTTGATAATCACAGATTAATCTCCCAGTGACAGTGACCTTTGATAGACTGCAGCAAACAGCAATAGCTTTCCAACCACTGCAACTCCACTCACCATAAAGGAATCATTATCCATTTTCTGAGATAATAATCCCTTCACTTTTTTTAAAAATAGTAAGAATTTGGTCACTCAATCCATAACTCTTTGTGGGACACTGCCCAATTTGCTGCTGTGTTTCACCCACAAAATATACAGTCACTTCACTTTACAGTATGTTCTGTGAAGCGCTTTGAAAGTCTCAAAGGCGTGATAAGGCGCTATATCAAATACAAGGATTATTATTATAGGTCACCACAAAAATCTTTCAAGTTAAACAAAAAGCAACTAATAATGTGACAACCTACTTCATGAGCATTTGTCATGCTTATGAATTATATTGTCCTGCATCACAAGATAGTTTATTTTCCCTTGATATACTGTTATCTGACATTTATCGTCTATAAATCTACTAAATTATAACATTTGATTAAGGTACAACACAGATAAATCAACCTCAGTGTTGTCCTGAAGGGCCATGTAAGGATCACACTGCAGTGCATCAATGGAGATAATGTGGTTCTCCAAAAGGAAAAAAAAATTGTCTTTTAAATGAGGAAAGAATTGTTCAATGGAGAGTGAAAGAAGGATGTACTGAATTGCTCCTGAATCCCATCGTAATTAAGATTGTTTGTAACATTTGTTCACACAATGAAATCTTTCCTTTGCTCATAGAAACAGTCACTACAGTTGCCAGTAATTATTTGTGAAATCCTTGATAAGGTGCTTTAAAATAGCAAGTTCTTTCTTTTATTACTAGATGGATTTTAACATGGTAGTTGTCAAATGAGAATCTTAGAATCATAGAATTGTACAGCACAAAAAGAGGCCATTCGGCCCATCGAGTTTGTGCCGGCTCTTTGAATAGAGCAATTAATGTCAGTTCCACTCCCCAGCCCTTTCCCCATAATCCTGCAAACCCGTCCTCCTCAAATACCCGTCCACCGCGTTTTTAAAAGTAGTTATCGAATCGGCCTCCACCACCCTTTCAGGCAATCTTCCAATCGTATGCCAACGTACAAGTCAAAGTCAATGCTCTGTAGTCCACATTACTGTACTCAACTTTATAAATAAATGTGGCCTAATGAGATACAATCATATTCAGCT